CTTGAGTGTATTGGACATGTCCAGAAGAGGCTAGGAAAGGCTCCGTATGAATTTCAAAGAACTGGTTCAAAACTAGAGGATGGTAAGCCTGTGAAAGGAAGACAGGGTCAATTAACAAAAACAGCAATTGAGAAAATGAGACGCTCTTAGGGGAAAGCTATTTGAAAAAAACCCAACAGAGACATTAACTCTGTAGAAGAGCGAGATGACGCTGTCCAGATCATGCAAACTGAAATTATGGCTACCTTGTACCATTGCTTGAAGTTACCAAATAAAGACACAAGTACTGCTCAAACAATTCTTGGTGCAGGTACAAGAAGAAAATTCCTTGCCCCAATGAGCCTCACTACTTAGATACGGTGTTTGAGAAGTGTTTACTTCCTTTTTATGAGAGGCTCAGTGATCTTGCCATTCTTTCATGCTGTCTTCCTGGGTTTACTAAAAATGTAAATGAGTCTATCAATTCATTAGTGTAGATTAGATGCCCAAAATACAAATGGCATGGAAGGAAAAAATTTCTTTTGGCAACAGCATCGGCTAACCTTCAATTTAGTGTAGGGGCAATGGCAAAGCACGAGGTAATGGCAAGGGCTGGGCTTGCTGTTGGGGGCCATACCAGAAAAGAGAGCACCAGAAAAATATTACAATTTTTTTAATTCCTAGTAATCACCAGTAATCTCTCAATTCTTCTTTCAGAATATCATCATACTGAATGAAGTGAGAGATGATCACTCATCACTCCATCTTGGATATGACAATGAAATTATTGTAGAATTCCGGCATGAATATCACAATATGCACTCATTGAAACGAAGGTTACAGGATTTTGGCCTATGGATAATTCTATCAAGAACAATTGAGGGATATCAGACAAAAACTAAATGGATCTGACAGATCACTAGATATCTGATAGATCACTCACAGAGCAATCTGGCATTCCATTTGACTGGAATGTTACATACATGTTCCTCTACCAATTATTGCTTCATTCTTTCAAGAACTCAATTCAGGTGTTGAACAAAGACAACAACAGAGGCTCACAAGAAGAAGGTATTCCAATTATGGCCTTCACTTTTGCTTGCATGTGGATGGTCGGTTTTTTTAAGCTTTACTGCAAGAAGTATTTCAATTAGTTATATTGGTTACTCTGGGTCCTAACCAGCCACAGAGCTGTATTCTGTACCACGTGATGGGTTTGACTAACCAGGATCCAAAATTGCAACACACCCCAGACTTGATATTTTGAACGTCACACAAGGTGAAAATATTATGCAAGAGGATGAAAATGACATCATAGTGTCATGCAGATGGAGATTTTTTTTAAAATTTACTTTTTGGGTGAAGTTCACTTTGCATAAAATGATGCAATAAAGTCTAGAATCAGGACAACCATGTTTTTTATTGTAACAACAAAATCCTTAGGTTACATTTGGGACATGTACTCTTCTTGTTGGAAAGTGCCCATTTGGTGTATTTGTTGTTGAATTTTGTGTACGAAAGGATTTCAAGATCTAGCCAATGAAGATAACATTCTTTTGAAAGTGTATCCTTGTCCCATACCACTCTTCACTATTTTCATTCAATATACTTCTTCATTGTTGAAGGCTGACTTTTCCACCTTGAAAAACTTTTGCCAGGTGATATGGCTATGGCAGACTGAGGTTTCATGATCAGAGAAAGTGTTTCTCTCAAACAGTCAAAACTCGTGATACCAGCCTTCACTAAAGGGAGGGAACAGCTGGATCCTATTGGTGTGGAAAAAACAAGAGCTCTAGCAAGTGTAAGGATACATGTTGAAAGGGTGATTGTGTTGGCCCGTCACTTGTACCTAGGCCCTCCCTGAGGGAAACTACATCCGGGCTCCCCAATTATTGTTGTTGTTGTAACACGAAGTGCTCGTGGTCAAGCTCGGGAATAAAGACTGTGTTCATTGAGCCCTCGATATTGTTTGAGTCGTCTGTACTGCCTGACATGGTGTCAGGAGTGGGATAGATCCGATAAATCGACAAGAGAAGCATTTACGGAGAGCAAACGTACATTTAGCGAATTCAACGACCGCAGCCGACTCGTCAAACAGCGATGGCGAACCTCAAGCGACCTGAATTGAAACTCGGCGGGAATATGTCAGAAAATTTCAAGAACTTCGAACTCAGATTCCACGACTACTGCATCCAAGCAGACTACCGAAACTTAGCGAAAAACCCCGAGACAGAAAGAGCAGATTACTACAAGAAACCGTTACTGGAAATATCAGCGCTCCGATCGGCAATGCCGGACAAAGCCTTGCAAGTGATCCGTTACACAATTGAACCCCAGATAGCAGCTGATGATCAGAAAAAACCATGGATCTGGATGGACAAATTACGACTTCATTACACTGGATCTATCGGAAGCTCCCTATTGGCGGACAGATTTAAATTCTGGAACACTCAGCAAAGCCCACACGAATCTGTTCAGGAATGGGAAGTTAAGGTCAGACAGGCGGGCAGCCTGTGCTCGTACAATGCACTGACCGACGAAATGTGCCGTGACAAATTCGTTTTTGGCTTGCACGATGGCACAATGAGAGCTGAGTTACTAAAAACGCATTTAAAGTCGGACGGAATGCCCAAGAACATGCAAGATGTCATTGCCGAAGCCAAGGCCCTCGAGTCAGCCCAAAAAGCCAACAAACTCATAACAGACGCCACAAAAGGAATCGAGGAACAAGTTAATTGGATAAGCCACAAACAAATGAAACTAAAGCGGGAGCCTGGAACCTGCTTTTGGTGTGGAGACCGACGCGGACCTCACCCCTGGAAAACATGCCCTGCAAATGGCAAAACCTGCACTAAGTGTGGAATTAACGACCACTTCTCCAGAGTCTGTCTCGAGACAGGCGCCCCCCAACATGAACAACCAAGGAGAACTACCCAATGGCAAGCTCAGGGTAGGGGGCGAGGCCACAGAGCACCTCGCGGCCGGTCCCAACCAAAACCCCCTCGTGAACAAAACGTACATATGCTGCAGATGACAAATGACCAACACCCTGTGGAGTACTACACTGATGACTACCAAGAACAGTGCTACTCCCTGGAAACACGGCAAATACACAGTATCCACACAACCCACGCAAAGAAAATTACTTTGTTACACTGCCCATGTCTGCAACAGGGAACAAATTCACCCCAGTGACATTCCAAATAGACACCGCCGCCACATGCAATACCTTGTCTGAAGATACCCTTTTCAGGCTGATGCCAAACATGAAGCTTAGAAAGTCACCCTACCTACTACACCCCTATGGCGACTCCCAGCCGCTGAAACCACTGGGGCAGATCGACCTCTGTGCGAAAGAAACAAACGATACGAATCGCTCACATTCCAGATACTTCCTAGGGATGTCATGATGAACGAACCAGCCCTTCTCTCTGGCTCCGACTGCGAGGCACTGGGGCTCATCACCATCAGGGCACACGAAATATTCTCACTCACATCAGCAGTAAGAGACTCGTCAGGCAAGAGAGCCCCTACCTACCCAGCCAGCTTGCCACAAACCAATCCAGACCCAGGCAACCCAGCAGCTCAAGCCAACGGTACACTCAAGGGAGTAAAAGGCCGCCACCCTGACCAACCCGACAGTGCCAACCCATACGGTGACCCAGCAACGCCCTCACCTTCTAAACCTATAATGATCCCTTCCAAACGACGCCTGGCCCCACCCGGGAACCTCACCAAGGAAGACATACTAACACAGTATCCTGAAAAACTTCGAAGGCCTTGGCTGCCTGGGACCCCCAGTTCATTTCGAAGTAAAAGCTGACGTCTCACCAGTACAAATGCCAATACATCGAGTCCCTGTGGCAAAACGCATGAAAGAAAAGGAAGCCCTTGACAGATACACCGCAGCTGGTATCATAAAGAAAGTAGAGGAACCCACCTCGTGGTGCTCCAATGAAGTCATTAAAGAGACACCAAAGAAGACAAGAATCTGCATTGACCCCAGTCAAACAGTCAATAAAGGAATTCTCAGACCAGTGTATCAAATGCCAACACTGTCTGAACAGCTCCATAAACTCTGCCATGCCAAATGTTTCTCACTTGTTGATGTCAGAGAAGGCTTTCTACACGTACCACTTGATGAAGAATCGTCACTGATGACGACAATGCACACGTCTCATGGGAGATACCGATGGCTCCGCCTCCCATTTGGCATATCAAGCGCTCCTGAGGAATTTCAAAAGCGCCTCATGTCAGCTCTAGAGGGTCTTGATGGAGTATTATGCATCGCTGATGATATACTTGTGTTCGGAGAAGGAACAACCTACCAAGAAGCTGAGAAAGACCACGACCGCCGTCTTGTCGCACTTATGGAGCGCTGCTCCAAAAAGAACATAAAATTAAACCAGAGCAAACTGCAGTTCAAGCTACAACAAGTCAAATTCATGGGCAACGTCATAACTGATCGAGGAATGCAAGCAGACCCAGACAAGATAGCAGCAATCTCAGCAATGGCCCCACCCCGAAACAAAGCAGGTGTTCAGCGATTCGTGGGAATGGCCAACTATCTCTCACCCTATTGTCCAAACCTCAGCACCATCATCCGGCCTCTCACCCAACTCACCAAGTCAGATATCCCCTTTATGTGGGCACAAGCACAAGATGACGCATTTGACAAAGCCAAACACCTCATCTCCACTGCACCAGTGCTCCAATACTATGACTTCAGTAAACCGGTCACACTTCAAGTCGACGCTAGTGAAGAAGGCGTGGGCGGTGCCCTCCTTCAGCCCAATAGTGAAGGACGCCTCCAACCCGTAGCATACACATCAAACAGCCTCAACGCAACAGAACAACGATACTCCCAAATCGAAAAAGAGTGCTTGGCCATTTGTAACGCATTTGGAAAATTTGACCACTAGCTCTATGGCAAATCAGATATCGAAGTTCACACCGACCACCAGCCACTTGAGACCATCTGCAAAAAACCTCTGCACAAAGCCCCAGCACGGCTACAGAAAATGCTAATGAGACTGCAGAGATACCGCTTCACCATCCAATACAAGAAAGGAACCTCACTCTACCTGGCAGACACTCTCTCAAGAGCAGCACTACCTACCCCAGTACATGCCAGGGTCACAGGTTTTGAAGTATTCAGGACTGAACTCACAGAGGAATCCGATACCCACAACCCCCGCCTCACAGAAACCACCGAATCTCGCCTACGCGACGAGACCAAAAAGGATGAACACCTCTCCAAGTTAATGGCCACAATCGCCCAAGGCTGGCCGGATGACAGAAAGCAGCTACCACAACCACTACGAGCATACTGGACCTACAGAGACGAGCTAACCACTGACAATGGCCTCATCTACAAAGGCGCCCAAGTTATGATACCGCAGTCCATGCAAGCTGAGATGCTGCTGAAAATCCATGCAAACCACTTTGGTCCTGAATCAAATGTACGCATGGCACGAGACGTACTATTCTGGCCCGGGATGAGACAAGCAGTGTTTGATATGTGCAACAACTGCAGTACCTGCGCACAGTATGGATCAAAGTCAACAAAGGAACCTATGCGATCACTTCCGATTCCAACACTACCATGGCAGATCATCAGCCAAGACATCTTCCAGTACAGACAGAAAGCCTACCTTGTAACAGTGTGCCATTTTTCTGACTGGATCGAAGTGGATGAACTTGACGACACTTTGGCAACATCAGTCATTAACAAAACCAAAGCTCATTTCGCCAGGTTTGGCGTTCCACGTATCTGCCACACAGACAACGGACCACAATTCACCAGTAAGGATTACATGGACTTTGCCTCTCAGTACGGGTTCAAACATACCACCTCAAGTCCCTATCACTCCCAGGGCAACGGCCGAGCCGAGGCAGCAGTGAAAGTATCGAAGTCTATGCTAAAGAAATCAGATGACTTCCAAATCGCCTTGCTCAATTACAGAAACACACCACCAAAAGACCACACCTACTCTCCTGCCCAACGCATGGTGAGCCGCCGGACACGAACGACGCTCCCAACAGCTGACCACCTTCTCGAGCCCATGTCAATCAACCGTGACACTGTATCAGCAGAACTCAAGGCCAAACGCAACACCAGTAAAGCTCACTATGACAAGACTGCGGGCCCAGAGCAGAATAGCATCAACATTGGTGAATTTGTGTATGCACGACCACCGACAAGCAAACCAGGCAACCCTTGGGCATATGGCCGTGTCACCGGACAACGCCACTCAAGATCTTACACCATACAAACGCCCCACAGTACCATTCGACGAAATCGGATACACATCAGGCATGCAGTACCTCCTCCTCCCCAAACACCACCGTGCACCCCACCCACGCTCACGCCTAGACCAGGCCACAGCCTTGCAAATCACTACAATCGTCTAGGATCAGAGCTGAATATGCCCACTAATCAGCCTACACAGCAACCACCTCCCTCATTGGACAAAAGTAACAGCGGCCCAGTTCTCGACACCCCTTCCCCTCCACAACCACAAGAACCAAGCACACCAGCCACGGGCCCAAGTGAGCTGCCTATCGACACACCCCTTGCTACAATTCAAGAACAGCCAAGGGATCACCAACCCGAAATGAGAACACGCACAAGACTCATCAAACCACCAACTCGGTTCAAAGACTTTGAACTCAAGTAATGCCTGCCATAAACGTTCGCGCTGCATAACAGCACGGTTGCAGAACTTTCCATGATAACAGTCCGAACAGAACCTTATATAAGGCTACACCTGCCTACTTTACTCTGTTCTATTTACTATTAATTTTTTTTTTTCTTTTTTTTCAAAGAAGGGGGGATGTTGGCCCGTCACTTGTACCTAGGCCCTCCCTGAGGGAAACTACATCCGGGCTCCCCAATTATTGTTGTTGTTGTAACACGAAGTGCTCGTGGTCAAGCTCGGGAATAAAGACTGTGTTCATTGAGCCCTCGATATTGTTTGAGTCGTCTGTACTGCCTGACAATTGGTTTGCTGTATTGTAAGTATACCATTCTTCAAAGCACTCTTCCCACTAATTTTTTGAACAATGACAATGCACAAGATGAAGTACCAATTATTGACAGAATTATCAAAGTATGTTCAGCTCTTGTAAACCTGTGTCCACCTATTGTACCATTTGATTAGCTCCATACTTCATACATTACTACCATAGTCATATATTGTAGCTAACGAAATGGAGTGTATAATTTAAGAGTTATTGCATAGTTTTTTAATTATATATTTATATATGTAATTGTGTATAATTTAAGAAATATTGTAACCCTATGAAATATCAAAATATCTGTAGTACATAGTTTAGCAGATATTTGTTTTCTGCACGTTCTGTATTTGGTATTCTTATTGTGTTATACAATTAGGTGTTTCAGTTACGCAATGTGCTTTAATTGCGTGTCGTGTACATAGTTGTTGTCAATTGGTGATCTTCCTTCAGGTCTGCTAATGCCACACGCTACTCCACTGTTCTTTAGCATGAGCAACTCTG